TGTACAAATGATCCATTCTCTTAATATTGTAGTGCTACATTTACACCAAAATATCTCACATAACTGTAGATGCTGACCACTTCTTGACACTTTGTGGTGCAATATGGTAATTGCCTTTTTACTGGGTTTGTTCCTAAAGATAAGATGATTTGTATTTTGCCATGTAAAATACTTTGCTTTCTCAGGTATATGTTCAGGAATGCTTTAAGCTTCCCACCCCCACCCCTGCCGACTTAGTCTAGAAAATACGTTTTTGTAGAAGAAAATATCATGGAGCATTTGAATTTGAATACAGGAAGAACTAGTTTCTACTGAGATTTTAAGATTACATAAAAAAAAAGAGACACAAAAATTTACAGATCAAGTATTTAAATAATGCATTATGACAGTACTGCCTGATGGGAAACAGTGAGCCTAAGTTGCAATGTGATTTCGCCTGGATATGAAGAATCATTTTCTCCCATTGAGGACAGTGAGATAGTGGCACAGGGTGCTTGGAGGAGTTTCTCTCCATCCCTGGAATTCTTCAAGCCTCAACTAAACAAAGCTCTGAGCAGTTTAGTTTGATCTGAGTTGACTCAGCTTAGAGGAGGGTATTGGACTGGACATCTGAGGGCCCTTTTAACTTGAATTACCCTGGCATATTCTGTCAGGTGTATTTCATATACTTTGTATTTTTAAATTGTGTCTTTCAAAGTTCAGAATATATTGTTTTATATTATTGACCTTCTCAGGTGCCAGGTGCGCCAAATGGAAGATCCTGCTGCTGTCTACAGTGAATTAATGGATCTAATTGTAAAACTTGCCAACCATGGCTTGATTCATGGTGATTTCAATGAATTTAATCTCATACTGGATAATGATGACCATGTCACCATGATTGACTTTCCTCAGATGATCTCAACATCACATGCAAATGCTGAATGGTAGGTTCAAATTTAAAGATGTTTTCAAAGTAAATCTGACAAATGCTGATGACAGCTTATATTCAACCATGACTTGTTTCCATAAGCCTGTTTCTGATTCTTTTCTTAGCATTGCTGTCATGCAGCACAAATGATGTTCCAAACATTGTTTGATTTAGGAATGACAAGAAGAGTCTCTTTAGGATAAATGTGTAATTAATTGCTTCTCAGAGAGAATGATGTTCAGTTAAGAAGTGCTTAGAAATAAACTGCATGTAATTGTGTCCTTAGCCTTCTGTCTTAGGATCACTAATAGAAATAATTTTAAATAAAATCAATAAAGGACAAGAAATGGAGGTAAAAGTTTGTTATTGCAGTAGACTTAATTACCTTGATTTTGTGTTTGAACAATTCTGTATTTTTACAGGTATTTTGAGAGAGATGTTAGCTGTATTAAGGAGTTCTTTAAGAAACGCTTCAACTACGAGAGTGAGCTTTTCCCAGCATTCAAAGACATCAGGTAGAAACTGGCAGATGAATTTGAGTTCTCCTGTTTATGGTATTTGTGTTAGTCTTGTGAGAAAAATGGATGCCTGTGAGAGATGCTTGTAGGAGAAATAAAAATATAGGCCCAAATACGCAATTTAAAATTATATTTAAGTCATTCCTACTGTGTTTTCTTTAACCAAAGTTACTCTAAGTGGTTACCAAAAGTGTAACTGTGCTTGCAAATCTGCTGCTTCCTCCTTTGTCTTTCCTCTTGCAGCTGAGGAATAGAGAACAGCCTAACAGCTTGATCCAAATGGTAAATATATATGAAGTGTTAACAGTGATACAGAATCAGTTTCTCCCACTTCTCAAAGGCTATGTGACAGTTCTAGTATACTGAGGATTACTTTGGATTTCAATTTGAAATTTATTATTAAAATGCTAGTAAATATGCATCTTCAAACACTATTATGGTCAAAGTATTCTTCCTGATGTATTTTGTCCATATTGAAAAGTAAAGTTATTTTACATTTATTTTAAAACTGCAGCTGTTGCAATGAGAAGAGTATAATTTTGAAGACGAGTATGTCCTCTTTGTTAATAGTATGGGTAATACAATGTAGCCCAATTAATATTTTTAATCAAAAATGTAGCATATTGATAGCTTGATGATTTAGTATATTAAAAGAAAGCATACTTCTTTTACAGGAGAGAGTGTTCACTTGATAGGGAGATTGCTGCCAGTGGCTATACCAAAGAAATGCAGGAAGATGATGAAGTTTACCCACCCGGTTCTGATGAGAATGATACCTCTCTTGTATTATCAGAATTTGTAGAAGATGCTGAGAATATGCTCAACTTCTTCAGCAAAGATAAAGAAAACAATGCAGACTTCATGTGTGAAGTGGGTGATTTCTCTGAAAGCAGAACCTCTAGCAACTTCATGTGCAGCAATGAAGAGGCTGATGCAACTGAAAGTAGTGAAAATACACAAAAGCTGAATATGGCAAATTTAAGTTCAGCCTTAGAAAAAGTTGAAGGGCAAGCTATGCTTTGGAATTCTGGTGAAGATGCAGAGAGTTCTGAAGTTCTGTTGTTTAAGGGCAAAGGTGTAACTGAAAATGCTGCTGAAGTTGAAAATCAGACAGGTCAAAGAGGGTGCTGTGATGATAAGGAGAATGAAGACAAATGCCCTGATCTGGTTGACTTGTCAACTTCAGATGAGAAATTCAGGCATTCCAGGTAAAGTTTCATATTTCCTATCTAGGAGTGTGGTTCCTCCCCTCCCCCCAGTAGATGTAAAATCCTGCAAGTAGCTCAAGAAAGACTGCTCTTCAGCTACCCTTGTTTAAATTGAAGACTTAAGACCATCATTGGTCTTATGATAGGTAGCCTGTTGGTTGGTATGTAATGTGTGACAGATCAGTTGTCCAGCTGTACAGTAATACCTAATAGAGGGAAAACAGGTCTTGGATTTAATTCATAGACCAACCTGTTTTCTATGGTGGAATTTTTTTCCCCTTTTTCTTTATTTCAGTTAATATTGGTAGTGAAAGAATTCTTGATATTAAAATACTGCTTCTGATTAACTTTTATGAATAAGTTTGTAATCTGAATGCTCAAATTACATTGAGCAAAACCAAATTATTCTGCTGCTCACTAAGCTGAACTTAGTAAGAACAAGCTCCTTGGAATTTATTATTCAAATATATTGTACTGTGTCTTGTTCTAGCATTTAAATCCTTTCCTGACATACTTGGAAATTCCTGCTTATGTTCATGCTAGCCCCTTGTACATGAAATTTTAACTCTCGAGTTTGCCGGCCTACCATGTACCTGGATGCATATACCATGCTCGTACTTCCCCTCCCATGTGCTTTTGCTTTTAAGTGAAATGATTTTTTGAAACATTGTGCAAAATCTGAATTTTTTCAGTATTCTGATGCTTCTTTTCATGTGCTTGGTACACAGGAGGCTGTTGTGCAATAAATTTTTGCTTTCATAAAATGCTGGTTTTGAACAACTAATGTTAATATTTAAACATACATGTTTTGTAGTACTTGCATGTTCTGTTTGGATTTTTCAGATTATATCTCAAAAAGATAAGACTAAAACACGATACTCATAAAACCAAAGGTTGTTTATCTTGCTAGTGGAATAAAACATTGATTTATGTATCTTAGAAACAAAGAGAGCATCGTTCATATTGCTGAGCCCAGAACAAGGACTAAAAGTATCACGTCAGTCAGAAGTCTTGGGAGCTGTTCAACAATTCCAGCGGTAAATATTGTTACGTTATTATCCAGTTTATACTCAAACCGCATTAAATTGCACATTGCTGTTAGTACCTATTTGCAAAAATGTTCTCTAGCATTAATTGACTCTTACCATGTACCTCTCTAGTTTGCATTTCCATGCCTGCAGAAAAATAGGACTGATAGTTCTGTATTTGTTTAAGGGGGAATGATATCCAGCACTTTCCGTAATGTACTGCATCAGCATTAACAGCTCTCATTTGGCCAGTAACAGGCTAATGTATGTTAATGTATGTTAGTATATTAACCTATAATCTGTTCATTCATTTAACCTGTTAGCCACAATTCCTATGTTTTAGTGTAAAAGTGGATGCTTGAGTCAAGATTTAGTTTTGCCCTCTGTTCTTAGAGACTTCACACTGTTTTCTGAAACATTTATATGAACTCACTTCAGTAGTGATTTCTTTGGCAATATGAATTTGTTTGACTTTCTGCATTATAAAAATCAAAACATTTTACAGCAGAATTTAATGTCTTTTTCTTCAACCCCTGATTATACACTAGTCAGTATGGCTACCTCTGCAACATTCTTAAAAGTATGATTTCATTTTAAAGGGTAGAAATTCCAATGTTATTTATTAGTTAGAAAGTATTCTGTACCAAACAGGGAAAAACTTTCAGCTGACAGCTGACCCAGGAGATATTTTTTTAATTATGTCCGAGCTATGTTCAGTCTTATTTTCATTTGCAGTTATGAATAGAAGCTCTGAAAAACCTACTTTGGGGAACATGTTAGTGTAGTTTCAGCTTTTTCAAGACATGTATGAAAAGTAAATATCTACTTTTTAATTTTGTGTCTTTTCAGCGTATTTCTATTGCTTAAGTAGAGTATTGGTCCTAGCAGTATTATGTCTGAAACCTGGAATGATTTGTTTGTTTGTTAGACTTGATCTTTCTCACTTGCAGTATCTTTGGTCTGCTACTTACTGCTTTAGTACTTTTCTAACAAAAGCTTTGCTACTGTCCTGTTAACTGTTGTGTTATTCTGTGAAGCAGCTTTGTTTTCAACAAGTTGGCTATAATATTCATGCAATAGTTTGACTGCTTTACTCTTTCGTGTTTGGACTTTTTTCTTTTAAGGCAGGTATTTTAAAGATACACCAACAACCAATAAAGATTCATGTCTAAGTAAGTGTTAAGGAGCAGCATGTTTACGTCTTGTCTAAGACTTCTTTTATGAGACTTCATGCAAGGGGGAAAAAACCCAGCTTTGGTCGTTGTCATCACAGTTCTTATTTTAGGAGATGGCATTGTATCTTCTTAAGGAGACAAAGGATTAGGTTAAAACTATGGCAGGATGCTCTGCCAGGATTTCCCTATCTTCTGGTCCATGCAATATATTTATGTTTATTTTTTCTTTTATTAAGGGCAGACTTATTCCTTGATATGATTTTTTTTAAAATTCTTTGTTAATTAGAATAAAAGTAAGAAACTCCTTTCGTATTTGTAGCAAGATATGTTTCTGTCACAATGAAATAGTTAGAAATATGAAAATAATTTCTCTTTTTCTGCCAAGACAAGATACATAAGTATGCGATCCATATCAGTGGAACAGCTTGAGGTATGATCATTTTCCAAATGACAAAGTCACAGCCACAATCTACTGAATCATGGCTTCATTTTTATCATGGATAGCTATTGTTGTGATAACGGAGAGCAGAATTCAAAACGGAAACATAGGTGTAAATAACAGATGAAGTTCATAAAACTACTGCAGTTTTATGGAAGTAACAGTCACTGTTGCTGTTTCAGTACTTTTGCTGTAGAAGCTTAAGACAGTCCTGACTTTGTGAATCTTAATAGGAGAGTGCCTCGTAATGGAAAAACTTAAAAAGAAATTGTATATCACTCCTGACTGCCTATCTTTTTTAGCCACACTTGTAAAGAGTTGTTGTTTTCCATTAGAATCATACTTACATCTTTGTAGCCCAAACTTCAGGAAGACCAGAATGCTTAAAAAAAAAAAAAAAGGCACAAACCAAATAATTGCTGCAGGACGTGGAATCTTCTATTGGTCTTTTTTTTTTTTTTTTAATAAGAGACATTTGTCTAATCTTCAAGCATAGAATATTGCCAGGTTTTACATTTTTGTAGAAGGCACATGATTTGCACTGAGAGTTTCTGGTCCTTTATGATTCCCATAAAAAAGACACTTAACCTCTGTAAGGTATGATTTAAAATGCTGTTTATTACAGCTAAGACTATCAACGGAGAATAGCATAGATAATTCCACGCTGCTTTAGATGCTGGGAGCCCAGAGTGTGTAGCATTGAAGAGAACTCCAGCACACATGCAGCATGCCGTGCAGACCTTGTCCATAGCAGAGAATCTCTCTTTGCAGTCAGTCCAGCTATTTTATGATTTTCTTAGAAGGAACAAATGTGCTCATAATTTCTGCAGTCAAGCCAGATATTTGCGTGAGTGCTTCTTGCTGCACTTTTAGATAAAGGCAGGGCCACACAGGAGTCTTAATTGCCAGTATTGAGAGGGAGCTGGCTTAGTTTATCCCACTGCTACCAGATCTGTGCAGCACAACACAGGCATGAAGACAACCGTTTGCATGCAGCTTAGTGCAAAACAGGACAGACCTGGACTTGCTTATGTTAACTGTTGTGTAGATCACTAACTTCTCAATGTACAGAGGTCTTCCAGTTAGGATCATGCATATTCATGTTGGTACTGAAAATGCATTGTTCTTGTGCCATGTCTTAGTACTAAGTGGTCTTCAAAAATTTCAAATACAGATAGTTTGCTTATTTGTAGGAGCTGGTGAAACAGAAAATAAGACGTCAACTGACCAAACATCAAAAGTCTGCCCTGAGACAGCGGCTGCAAAAAGGAGAGGCAAACATTTACACCAAACAGCGTCAAGAAAATATGCACAACATTAAGTCAAGCTTGGATGCAGCTAGTTTTTGGGGCTAACCTATTAAAGCTCCCATAGAACATGAGAAATCTCATAATGTATGCAGATGAAATAATTATGCTGATAACGAATAACCCTTTTATATAATCTTTTCTATACAACTAGGTGTTTTTCTGGACTTTAATAAACCTCATTCTGGTTCCTGTGATTTTGACTAGGGGATTTTCTTTTGTGTTTCTTGTTAAAACCACTTACTGTATATTAAATCAGTAGTATTGGCTAAGATCAATTAACTACACTAATTTCTCACACTGTCTTGTAAATCAGTTTTACTCTGTTTAGTTTAAGTGATATGGGAAACTGGTGTTTAGTTCGAATCTGTTATAACATTAGTTTAACTTTGTAGCTTTAAAGCCATGCCGAGGCACGGGTTAACCACCAATGTTAGTTTGGTTCTGCTGTTGTATTGCTTTAATTACTTTGTTCTGTAGCCATAACTCTCTGTCCTAACTGTCCTGTAACATGCCCCGTGATGTTATACAAACCACTCGCCTTGTACGAACCACTGATCCAGTAAAAACCCAGTTTCACCTGACCACATGCGTAGGGAACAAGGACTTGGCAACAAAAACGACAGGGGGTGAAAAGTGCACCGTGACGAAGACCTACAGCCTTCATCCCAACGACCACCTAAAGCGACCACCAGAGTAAACTGCGCAGATGCAAAGAGGAGGAGTCTGGGGTGTGACATATGCTAATGACTTCTCAGAACTAATTATAATAAACCCACCCTGTTCTTGGAAATAAAATGAATATGTAACCAACAATCATCTATATGGAAAACTTTTGGTTATATAAAGAATCTGCTTAAGCATTAAGGTGTGCAAGTTAGGTGGAGCGATCCCCTTGCACGCGCTGTAATACACATACCTGCTTTATAACTCTCCATGAGTTGTAGGGTTTGTTTCCACACGTCATAAGAATCTTCTTTTATGCAGAGGATTCCTCTTAAGAGGGAAGAAAGGGAATTTTTAAAAGCAGTTTTTACAATGACATGAAATTTAAATTGTTGCCCTCATGTTACAAACAGATATTTTTTTGGTTTAATTAAAAATCGCAGATAGGAACCTAATAGCACTTAATGCTCTAAGACTTCTTTTATATCTGTAGAAACTGAGCAATCCATATTATGATAAATACACATTTTTTGACACCAGCAATTCTCATTTATTTTTTCCTTCACTCCATGATATCATATAAATCTTGCCCAGAAAAATAAGTAAGTTTTGTATAAACCTGTCAAGCACTCAGATTTTTAATGTGACGGCAGTGTTACCAAAAAATAATTTCTTTCTATCTAATAACTTACATAATGTGATGAGAATCCTGGAATTTCTCTTTTCAAAAATAATACCATGACTTTTACTATGCTATGTCCTTGGAGTCTGAAGACCTAGAAGAAGAACAAGTATCTTGATTTTTTTTTTTAATTATTTTAAGCAAGATACATCTAGTGATACAATTAATTGGTATTTATACTTAAAAACACGTAATAAGGAGAGGAGTCTGTGTGGACACTGGAGCAAGAGAGAGCAGTTTAAATTTTTCTTTGTTCTTTTTTTAACCTATTCACTGTATCTGTGCTTGAGATGTGCGGTGGAGCCTTTCTTGGGAAGGACAACTTCTTAGAGTTAAAATTATCAATCTTCGGTTTGGAAAATGTTACATTGTTTACTTGCCTGAGTAAAAGAAATGAGGAACTCTGCTTTGGCCTTTGTTTTCTGCTTGCATGTCTGGTACTATGTGTTCTTTGCCCTGTGTACCTGATAGGCCTGGTAACCTTCTTCAGGTTTTAGCCTGTTGAAGAATTGCAACATCTCTTCTTGTAGCACACTCTGCATTCCAAGTTTTTGTCTTCTCCCTGGAACAATGTAAGAACTCGTCTCAGCCAGCAGCTGTATATGGTCTTAAAACACTGGCAGGTCAGTGAAAAGATGCAATAGTTAAGTGTTGCTTGTAGCATCACAGCTTCATGAAAGTCTGTTGACAGAAGGAAGTCCAATTAAATGTTATACATGTGTGATTGCAATCAAGCTATGTAGTACCACTTGAGACCCCTGAACAACCCACAGGCTGTGTTTTCTTATGTGTAAACAGTTAAATTCACTGGCATTTTAATACAGTTAACTGTACATGGATTTGGAAACTACCTTCCAGAAAAAGAGATTCAAACTGGGTTAACCTAATACATCACAAGTTTAATTTTTCTTTTCTTTTTTCACTTTCCATTTGCCATCAATATTAAAGTTGTGTTCCTGTTACATAAATGAAAGAGAAAGAAAAGTATACTTTTTAATTAATTTGCTATTTAAATAGGAGTCACCGTGCTACTTTCATAGTAATGAGTTAATGTTGTGGTTTAACTCCAGCTGGCA